GCCCTGCCCTGCCCCATGGGGATGAGGAGCACTGGGTGCCCTCTGGACGAGCACAACCTGCTGGTGCTTCCGCGGTCGGACCCACCACCCTGCCTTCCAACCTCCCCTCTGCCCCACGCTCCTCCCCGGCCCAAATCAACCCCTTAAAATAAAAAAAATAGGAGATTAAATCAGCTCACACAACCTCCTCGCTATCGCACAAGGCACGGGCGGAGTTTTCCCCAGGCTCGCTGGCTCTCCAAGACCGATTTCTGCTTAGTTTCACCCACTGCAGGGCGCGGAGCGGCTGCAAAGCCGCTGCGAGACCCGAGGCTCTGCCTGGGTGACACAACCCAAGAAACCGTGGGGCAGCGGGAGCCACCGCTTGTTGGCGGGTACCCACACAAACGAGGGGACGATGCTGACGAGCATGCGGTTTGGTTTGAGTTTTATTCTGGACCCGGGAGAAAGACAGCTTCCCGCGGGGGCAGTGATGTTGCTCTGGCAGCCTAGGAAGGAGGGGAAGAACCCCGACCTTCGTTTCGTCCCACCGCTGCCTGTATGGGTTTGCTTGGGTGTTTTGGGAAAGCCTGGGCTGTGGCTACTTCCCTTCGCCTCAGCAACAAGGAAAGTTTAAAGCCCTTCCTACAGTTCCTCACCCTGGGTGCTGTGCTGGCACACACACCGGTGGGGCTGGGCTGGCAGTGTGATGGGTGGAGAGCTCCGGGTTCAAAATTAATCCTTCCCCCTTTTCTGAGGGTTATATTTAACCTGGATTTCCCTGATCCAGTTGGCGTGCTGGGGTGTGGTTGCTCTGCTAGCCACCACCTGAGCAACCTGCTCTTTGCTTCTCATGAGGTTAGAGATTATTCCTTATCCTGCAACGATGTCTTAATTTAATTTTTATTTTTCCTACTGCTAAGCCTTGTCTTTTAACAAGGGGCTGTGCTCTGAGATCCCAGCCGTCATCCAGCACGGGAGGAAAAGTGTATTGAGGACTTCTCTGGCTTCAAGGAGACCGCAGTTATCTTTGGCTTTTATACCTCAAACTCTGTCCTTTTGTTCTCCCTGGTGTGTTTATCTCGAGTAACAGAACTGGTTTTGTGCTAGAGGAAGCAGCGCCTGCCTCGTACCGTACGCGCTGAGCACCGGCAAACGCTAATGAGGGTTGGGGAGTGCTGACGACCTAAAATTGTAATGAGAAAAAAAACCCCAAAACCTCAAAGAGTGAGTGCCACTTTTCATCTCAATTAAGTTTCCTTTCCTAGGCTTGGATTTCTCAGCTTCCTGTTAAGCTTCCAGCAGTTCAGAGTCAGGTTTTAATTTCTAGTAAGAGCAAGCAGGGGTGGGGGGCAAGAAAAAAAGCTATGGCTGTACAGCCTAGGAGCACCCATCTGAAGAAAACTGATTTTTTTTTTTTCCCCTCTCCATTTTTAAATTAATTGTAGCATTTCTTTTGGAGTCTCATTTTTTGACATCAACATCTCAAAGGTTTTCAGGGGTAAAAATCCTTGCTGCTAAAGCCTAGACTGCTCCAATACCGCTAGCGGGAGGCACAGATTATAAGTATCCACGATAAAGCATTTGGGGGCTTGGTTTTAAAGGACATTTGCTAAACCTGGCTTGGAACAGCAATACCTGTAGCCAATTAAAGCCACCTAACGAGGGCGTGTTGCCTGCTGGGCAAAGGTGGGAGAAGTCTCTTTAGCCACCCATTTTGCCACAGCAATTAGTATAAAAATTCACCATGGAGAGGAGGATTTCTTTGAAAACAAAGTGACTTTTCTAGTTAGAAATTCAAAGGCCAGTGACTTCCAGAGGGGACTAAGGCTTTTCCAGGAGAGAAGAGGGTGTTTGGGGGTGTAGCCATGCTGGAGGGGTTACATTCTTCTTCTTTGGGACAATCCTGCGCATGGGCATCTCCTTCAGGCACTGGGGGTGCTGCCTTGTGGTCGGGGAAGGCAGTTTTTTTTGGGGGGGGGGGCTGTAGCTGCATTCTTGATCACTTCTGTGCCAGTTTCATAACAAGAGCTTTCCACTCTGATCTCTTCTGCGTGATGTAGGGGGGGGTGAGGAGCTGCAGCAAAGGCTCTGGCTGGCCCCTGAAGTATCCCTGACACAGAGCCTCTGCGTTGCAGATCACGTACATCCCACAGTCATAGCTGTTCTGCTGGGCAGGCGCCTTCTCCTCCACGAAGGTTGCTTTGCCTCCTCTTTTGCCTAAGAAGGCCTCTAGCTTCCCCGCCACTTGCTTGGCGTGGACAGAGTTGCATTTACTGTGGGAATCGTAATGGGCGAAGCACTTTTTGTCCCTGAAATAAACCAGTAAGCTCCAGTGGGTGCCCCCAGCGACCTGGTTGGAGTTATCATTGATAGGCAAGAACACCAGCTTCTTGTGGAGAAGGTCCAGCGGTTGAAGGAATATGGCTATTTCTTCCTGGCTAAGGGCACATTTAATGAACTGAGCCACTTCAGGGCTGATAAAACAAACCTGATCGCTAAATTCTCGGAACTGGTGGTTGGCGAAGTACTCGAAGGCAAACCCGATGATGTGATCGTTAAGCCAGTTCGGGGGCTCCAGCAAGACAACGTCCGATTGCCTCAGCAAACTGTCCATGTAACTGAGAACAACAGGGTCCATCCTGCGCAGGTCGGGGCCGCAGCGCTCCAGGAGACTTCAAAAGCTGAAACACAGAAAGGGAAGATGAATTAAGAGGAATTAGATCACACCTGAGACAAGATACAGCACAGCACATATCTCCAGTTCTTTCTCAGCAAGCAGTGAGCAAAAGCCCGGGTTTCCCAGATGGATGTTTGAAGGACCGGTGTGTGAATCATCTGGCAGATGAGCAGATGGAGGACATGCAGCTCCTCCTCTGCAGTGTGTTGACGGGTTGAGCCAGGCTCCTCTGCTGCTCTAGGAGCAGTGCGTGGCCCCGATGAGATGCAGATTTCATCGTTATGATCTTAACCTCAAAGCAAAGTGATTTCAAAGCAGTTCCTGCTTGGGAGCTACAGGCACACCTTCAGTTCTGTGCTTTGCACAGGAACCGTAGCGCAATCTAGGTTGGTGTTTTGGTGTTCTGGTGTTTCAGTGTTTCACCTGCACAGTGACAATCACTGGAACCCTTTGCATCACTGGTATCCCTTAAATAAAAGTCTTTTTGGGCCTGTCTGACAAGCATAAGGTCCCTTTCGTCTAGAAGACAGTGCCACAGCTCGGTGCCAGACGCATGACCTGTTCCAGGAAAACCTGCTGGCCCGCCAGCACAGGAGGCAAGGTGGCGATGAGTAAGGAGAAACAAAGCAAAACAAGATCACAAACCAGCGAGTTCTCTACCGTGGGAATCTTTAGGACAACTTTCTACCTAGCCGGTAGAGATTTTGATAACTCAAGTACCACTGAAGCTTGATGGTCTGCAAAATACCTATTGTTTTTCAGCTCAGGTTTTAACCTGCCAAAATTTTGCTCACAAAAGGAGAAAGCGCTTGTGGGTATGCTGAGGGGTGAAGATCCCTGCAGGCTTCCACTGGTGATGTCCACCTGTGAACAGAAATGACCGGTCATGCTGCCCCGCTCTTTCTAGTCTTTTACTCCATTATTTGTCCAGGCTATATTCTTCCTTCTTAACCTGCGCCTGCTTACCAGAAATAGCAGCTGCTTAGCCTTAAGAAGGTGCTTGGAAATTCAAGTAGACCGTAGCACCTTGTTCTCCCCACCCACATGCTTGAGGATGTACTCAAGGGACTTCAACAGGTCTTCCAGGCACGACTTCCCCTGACTCCTCTCCGTTTATTGGGTTATCCATGTATCCCCCAATTCTGGCCTTTCTACCAGTCGTAGAATTCTGTTTCAGAAGCTCTTGCGTGTGCTGCCTTTCCGTCTTGGGGAGAGCAACGTGTGTTTTAAGGAAGAGGTTGCACAGCATGCTATGAGGTGCTACTCAATAAACAACATGAAATACTCACTGGCAACAGACTAGGATTTAGGAGGAGATCTTCTGAAGAGAAACTGTTGATCTAAACCCCCTATATCGACCCCGGTCTTCCTTTTGCTCTCACATCCCCTGGCCCAGGCTCCTCAACCGCTGTGATGCACCATCAGCCCCCGACACTTCTCTCCTTCCCAGGACAGGGCTAGAAATGCTGCAGCTCGGGACAGCAGTGACGTGGAGGTGCTTTGGCCTCACCCTTTCCTCATCTGTGCCAAACACAGCATGAAAACATCTTGAGATTTCTTAAAGCACCGTGTGAAAACTAATAACGATAAGATCACTTTAATATGATTCACCGTAAAGAAGACACTAATTACCCATTAGGACAGGGGGAAATAAAAAACCCACATGTGTTGTTTACATGTTAGGAAGAAGTAGATTTGCGCTTCTTATAGTGACGTGAATCATGAAAATGTCCTTCCTGGCCAGGTATGCATAAATTAAGAGAGATTTATCTCTAAAAAATCTTGGCAAGGTCACATCGCCATGTGACTTGTAAATAACAGAATGGATGAAATATGCTGCATGTGTAATAACGTCGGGAGGAAGGGCTGAGGTAGAGTATCTCGGGCTTGAAAAAGCTAATAACTATTTGTGTATCGCTGATAGATCCAAGACATGCCAAGAAGCAAGAGTCACTGAAAAGGAAGGGGAGCAGTCATTGTTATTTATACTGAGCCAAACACAATGGTATTTGGACGAGCTGCCTATGTTAATGAAGTCAAACTATTTCCAAGTTTGTGGAGCAAATCCATTGCAACAGCCTGCAGTATAAAAACAAAACAAAAAATCCAAACGAAGTCCCAGCAACTCCGTAGCATGCCTGAATATAATCTTGTTTAAAGAGCTGTACATCCTAGAAGCGACCAGTTTGTGGGTTTAACAGGGTCACTTGCTGAAATACTTTTTGCATGTGCCCATACAATGCCCCAGATTTTCCTTTACTGTGTGTTCTTCCTCTTTCTTCTTCTTCTAGAGATGTACGAAATACAGCAGATAGCTTTCCAGTCAAGTCCAAACGGGATTACAGTCTAGGAAAGGAAGCCGGCGTCCTGTATTCTGTTAATTTTCCACTCTGCAGAAACATCATTTGTGGGGTTTTTTTCTGGTCAAGGCAAAAAAAAAACCAAACAAACATTTGGCAGCTTCTTACAGTCAGGAAGGGAGAATGGTTATAGCAAATGCTTAATTGCCATTAGCTATTACTTTTAATTTTATTGCCATCTGGTATTTGTGAACTGCATGTGTGAGTTCTGCAGGATGACTCGCAGTGTGCAGCTTAAAGGAAAACCCCTTGTAGGCTCGGACGCCTTTCGGAGTCACTGAAGTTAAGTGGCGAGGGCCAAAAAAGCATAGTGGAGCTGTGAAGAGCCATCTGAGAGGTTGTTTCTTTTGAGAGAACCTCCCCATTAAAGCTAAAGAGGAATCCACAGAGAAGCCAGGATGTGGATCTGAGTACCTTTGACATTAAGGGGTGTTGAAATCCAGTCGCAGATCGCAAGCAGCTCTGCTCAGACGCAGCCAGGATTTGCTTCCTGAAGGCTCAGGCACACTCTGTTCAGAAGTTTTCCTAAAAATAGGAATAAATACTGATGCAGGTCTAGAGCATTTGTTGTAGGTTGCCAACAAGAGTCTTGCTTGTTCATTTTATTTACATATTAGTAGTTGGAATTTGTGCAAACTCTCTAATCCTCAGCTTCTCAGAGGGATATTCCTCTGCCCTGTTTTGAGCGCTAAGGTGCGAACACCAGGGAGAGAAAAAGATAATGTTTTTCAATAAAAACATTATACAGCCAACCAAGATGTAACCGCCCATTTCATTTATAGATTTAAAAACGGCGCCGTCTTGCATCAGTATGGCAAGAAGTCAAGTTCCTCTCCTTTCTCAGTTACAACAATGTAACGCTGGCAACGGTAATACAAGTTTGATCTGATGGGACTGATGGGACTCCTTCGCGTCCAGAATGCAAGGCAAAGCCTCCGTTCTGTAATACTTGAGGAAAAAAAACCCAAACCTATTATTTTCGCAACATTAAAGACAACTACCTTCTGCATGTAATTGTTGCCTCGCGCTCTGAAGGCAGCACTTGAGAGCCAAGGAATGAAATTCCCTAGTAATTTACTGTAAATAAGTAACGATGGACCAAAGAGAACATACATTAAGGATGAATCGGATTCCTAACGTCTATTTTAATAAATTAAAGGTGCTGAGAACATCCAGAGTGAATATTTTAAGGTACCATGTCACTAAACTCCTGTGCCAAATTTAAAAAATATGGAGGTAAATACAAAATGTCACCTGAAAGACAAATTATTCAGACTTTACCGGGGAAGAGTAAGAGAGAGAGAGAAGTTTTCGGCAGTTTGGCTGAGGTCTTTGGAATGACCAAGAATAAAAGGCCTCACAATTTAATCACCAGACTTTACTGGAAATACTTTATTTAAAAAATACTGTATTTCCCTTTTACTGGAAATAGAGTTTTTAGACAGCGTGCCCGTGCTTTTATTAGCGGTCGTTGTAAATGGCAGCAAGATCGGACAAGGAACATCAATTTCTGTTTATCAGCGGGAGCTGGGCTGGGCTACCAGCACCTGAGTCTCTGTACTTATCTGTCTCCTAGTAGAGCTGGAGAAGAAACTCAAGCAAAGTTAAAGAGCCAAGACAGAAAAGAGGTCTAGTCGCCTACTCTTTTTGTTAAATACAAGCAATTTCTTTGTAGTCTATAGATTATAATTCCTGTATGATACGAGAACAGTCTTTGCGGGTTCAGTGGGCCCTGAATGGCCGAGTCAGAAGACAATGTTTGTAATTTCCGCACACACAGACAATGCCCAAACCTTTCCATTCCCTACCAATTCCCGAAACCAAGCACGTATGGCACACGACACAACCAAACTCCAGAACCCTGCTCCGTTCCGCAACATCTCGTGGGGCGATAAACTAAAAGCCAGAAGAACTACACCAAGTGCTATTACCTCAAATGTGTTTCACTCCCCAGGACGGGGTTGGTCAAAGCATTAGGTTTAACAGGAAAAAAAAAATCCCAAGCGATCTGAACGCCTGAGGATGAGAGATGCCACCAGGACTCTCCCAGAGGTAACAATGAGAAACCCCTCAGCTCGGACCATCGCAACATTGTTAAGCCGGACGTCGATGGATCGCATTCACCTACTTTGAGAAAGAGTTTATTCAAGAGAGTAGTGGGAAGTGCTGGGAGGGAATACGATTTGCCTGAAAGGCCTAGAGGTTGCAGGAATTCGGTCACGAGGAGGAATTTGGTCAGAGGAACAGATTCGAGCTGTCATTGCTCTGCAGAGTCACAACCCACAGTTCCCGGGTGGAGAGACGATGTACTTGACCCCGAGCTTTTCCCCACGGCTGGAAGTCGGTGCCGGGCAGGATCAGAGCACACGAGCTGCCCCCCGGGAAGAGCTCGCTCATCCTGCTGCTGTTTCTAAGGAAATAAATGAGAGAGGAGAGGGCTCACCCGGCCTGGGTCAGGGTCAAGGCCGAGGTGGGGAGCAGGGCCTGACACAGGACCAGCCGGCAGCGCCGCTCCCTGCAAGCCCACCCAGGCCAAGCGGTGCCCGGGCAGCCCCAGCTCGACACCCGGTGCCGGTAAAACAACTCCGTGTTTAACGATTTTAACCATTTTCCCTCAAAACGCGTTGAAGCCTCCGGGC